TGTAAAACGCTTCGAACGCATGTTGATGAAGGTAGACAGGCTTTTGTGCGCTGAGGTCCTTGCAATTATCTTATTGAGTAATTATGCGGTGGGGATTGTGCCCGGCTAAATGAGTTCTTAATGAATAAACGAGGAAATGAGTGTAAATTCTTTAAGACTCGAAAGAAAAAAACTAAAATTCCAACTGAAATAACTTAAATTCTTCGTTTTAACATCTGACAAGTGACAAATGCCAGCAATTTTAATCCGATGTTAAAATTTTCTGTTTTCTTATATAACAGATAACGTAATATTTTATTAAATTAAAGCATACAACTTTTTATTAGTTGTGTAGTTGAACTAACTGAATTTCTTATTCGTTATGCTCCTTGTTACCTTGTTACCTTGTTAATAACACCTCGGTGGACTCCTGCTGAGCCGACTATTGGCTACCGCTTCCGATGTGCGTTTCTCATGCGGACACGTAACAAGTTTATTTTATAAGCAAGAGAATACCCCGTTCCGCGTTGCGGTAATTTCAGTTGTCGCTTCATTCCTCATCTCTTGAAGCCTCGTGCGATTCCTGCTGACCGACTGCATGCTGGCGCGCGACGGGCGAATTTTTTTGTTCCTGTTAATCTTGTTACACACGCAGCACACCTGGCAAATTCGCATTTTTATGTAATTTCGCTTTTTTTTATTGTTATTTCCCGCTGAACGTGCGGCTCGTAATCCGCAAGAAACAAATAAAGTCTAAAATGATTAATCGTCGATTGTTCCAGGAAGAAAATACTCCACTTGTGCAAAAAAATGTTATTTATGTATCAGGCTAATGAAGTTGCCGGTTATATAAATATAAACAAGTAAAAAATAAAACATAAATTATACTGTAAAATTGTGGATTATATGTTTTATGTCTATCTTCACTGTCAATTTGTAAGTTTTTTTGAATTTTGTTTTCTGCTGAATCGTTTTGCATCCAATATCGTATATTATTGTATCGTGCCGGTTTGTAATACCTGTTTGCGCATAAATATTCACCTGCAAGATCTAGCAGAATACGAATATTTGCTGTCGAAGCAAAAGGGCTTGTGCTTGCGTTGATGCGGCAGGCAAATTGTCGACGCCAGCCAACTCAGCAGGAGAGTTTCGTAATAAACTCGCGAGTTTATCAAATATTTACATTTTGCGCAAAAACCGCACCGTGAAAAATTCCATACTGCATCAGAATACTACCGCAATATGCAAAATATGCTTAAAATCAATTTGTGTGCGTTTAACTATACATAATTCAAACTATGACTCGATTTTTATGAGTCAATCGGTACGGCTATACCGTTTTCACTCACTCCGTGTTTCTCTCTTGTAGGTTAGTGAGCTTACAAACTGATGGGTACAGCCCTGAGAGTTAGCCGAGACGCACACCTCGACCGCGCGAGTGTACTCCCCTCAAAGCTCTCGAAAGCTCCGGCTGCGCCCCACTGTAAGTTACGCGCACGGGCGTGGTGTGAAGATAGCACACAAACAACTACTTCAACCGGTAGGGTATAGATGGCGCTAGCATTCACTTTAAAGTCATAAATTTATTAAATTCGGTGATAATTATAATTCACTACACGCAAGCTAATAGAATAAATTAAGTAATTATTTTTTTAACATGCAATTTCTAGAACGTACTAATTTATGCAATTAAAACACGAATTTCACACACACAAAAAATTGCGTTGAAAATGAATTATAATGCATATTATTGAAACCGCTCGGATGGAATTTCATCGTCGTAATCTTGCACGCATCTCGCTTTCATTTCCTTGCGATTTCATAACATTTTTCTTGTGTATACACTCACACCGCGAACGGTGCCATTATCGCCCTTTTGTGCACACATTAGTCGTGTTCGGAGTGTGCGCGCGCGTACGCCGAAAGAGAGTGATATTATAATGCAGCTATAAAAATACTCATTACTTTCATAATAACCCGAGCGTAATTGCAATCTAGTTTTAATGCCGGAGCGCATGTGACCATTTGTGACCACCGCGCACGGCCGTGTCGTAAAACGCGCACAAATTTGAATTTGTACTCACTATCGCTGCACTTGGTTGGGATACTGCATAGGCTAGTTTTATGCAGGGTACAAAAATACGCCATGATGTAAATTTTAATTGGGAAATTCCGCAGGTAATTGCGACGGCAATGTTCTAATGTAAACACGGTTTTTATCGGCGGTGTGCGCGAATCGCCTAATTAATCATGTAATTGGACGCTGCGCGCGCCGCGTGCTACCAACCTGTTATTAATTAATAATTTATCACGTTAATTGGCTAGATCTTGCGCGCGCAATCCGGGGGTGCATCTCATCAGAGGCAATAATTCATCTAGCTAGAGATATGTAGCTTATCATGCCTACTAATGGTGTAATAGTGAAGCCACTAATATTTTTGCACTAAATTTAATTTTTTCAAAACAATAAAATTATCTATAGTCACTCCACACTTCCAAGAAATAGAAAAAAAATTATAATTTTAAAAATTTATCATTTACATAAAAACTATTTGTGATATTGTTATAATTCTTTCAAAAATATATTCTACGTATAATTCTACATCTGATAGAGTAAATATTTTGTTTATTTAAGTGTTAAATAAAAAGTTATAAACAATTAAAACAAATTTACCTAAAAAAATCTACAAATTACTCTGTAACTTTTGATTAAAACCAATTTTACTAAAAATTTAGATTTTATTACACGCAGAATTAAATTCTGAAAAGATTTATGAAGAAATAATTTATACCACTTGATTGGTTCCCGAGTAATAAATTATTTACTAAACTATAAAGTTATAATAGCCGCGCCACGTAAGGGTGCCGCACCTATACTTATAATATAGTAAACAATTTCGCTCGGGGGTACCGAATGTGCATAGTTAATCGTTGAGTGCATAATTAATTGATTAATTGATGTTTTACGTACAGCGTGTGCATTAGCATTTTAAATTAACGACATCGCGGAAATAATAACCGCAACAATGAAGGCGAACATAAAGCGGCGAGCCGCGAAAATGTCTAAACTCTAGCGTGGACGAGCGAAAAATTAGCGAACGATAATTATGCCCACGTTCATGTACCTATGAGTTTTTGTGTACGTAATAATATTGCGCATTTATTACTGAATACATAAATGATGAATGCAAAACACGACATTAAAACTGTATTATTATATAACAATTAGGCATCCTGGCTTCGTCGTTGAATGCGATTAGTAATTAAGAAACGTTTACACTTCTGAAGCGGTAAATAATATTTCCGCCCATATGTAATTTGGGATTCTATTCAGGATACATATTAAATATTAGTTTTAGTCATTTAACTCAATACGCAGTCACTAGCACAAATTATTGCATCTGACCGCCATCTATGTTCCAATCTCTTTAACAGATTGACGTTTGACACTCTTTATCATATTTATAGAACTATAACCTCAAAAACATATAAATACTATCAAGAACTAACTAATTTCAATTGATCTTTATTTTCTCTGGCTATTTCCAACTATAAATAACTAAAACCAGTAATTTTGATCAGAAGCGAACAAAAAATAACGTTTATTGTACCCAAAACATTGATATCAGCCGTAAATCACAATGCGAACAGTGCCTCAATAAATAATCTTTTGTTGTGTTTTAGTGGGTGTTTGATTAATATGAGAAAAATTAGTTAAAACGAAAATATGAGCCTGAATTCGCCTACACGCTGCCGTGTGCCGTGTGCGTTCGCTGGAATATTTTCGATCCGCGCAACTATTTATACATTTTAATCACGCAGCGCAAATGCACAGCGCCTACCTTATACTTATTTGTGCGTTTGTGCGGCGGCGGCGGCAGCAATGTGGCACCGAATAGAAATTTATTTATTAATTTACGACGTCCCTCGCGAGTGCCTCGACTGGGCTTATTGTGGGTTCACATGCACGCATGCATTATGTATTAACTCGCGCACAATTCAACCAACGAACTTTTATACGTTGCAAACAAACAAACTAGTTAGTTAGTTTATTAAAATATATGAATTTTACTATTATTAATACGTCGCCATGCGCACAAGTACAAGTTACAAGAGTTTTTCATTCGATTTTCGTAAATTTATTCCCGAATTTATATTTCGAAGCGGGTGTTTTTGGCTGATAGATTTCGTAATTGATCGAGGGTGGTTTACACAAGACTGATTAGCGTAGCGCTTTTTTTCCTCCCGAATATCACTTAAGAGAAGAATGAATCGCGACGCGGATGATTCCCCAGTGAGGCGATATCGACGCGAGACGCTTCTCCGGTTTGATAAATGACTGACATCTTTCTTGCCATCGTCGGCGATGGCAAGCAATACATATCAGTGCCATTAAGCTAAGAAAAGCTAAGCATGCTAAGCATGCAATTTTTCTTTTGCCTGTGCTTCTTTTTCTTGCTGATTCATGTAATAATATCGCGACGTGAAGAAAAAACGAAGAAAATTATAATAAAAAACAGTGTGTAGCTAGAATGCTACATGCCTGGTGAGTTAGTGATGTTGGTGGTGATGGTATTCTAATATAAAATATAATTTTTTATATTTTGGTGGTGTGCGCACGACACATCAGCCTAATGACGCTTTACCCCTACGCTGGTTGCGCCCTCGCATTATGTCCCATCCACACCCGTCCGGCCATCTTGTGCGCCGAGGCAGACACACGCGGCGGTGCTATTTATTTATATATTAAATTTCGCACGCCTCGCGCCCGCCGCGCGCACTTTAATAACGCCATAAATTACGTTTCATACTTTTCACACTTTCGCACCGAAAGCGCGTTTTTTACTTACATTAACCGCACAATCTTATCTGCACACACTTTAAACGTTTGAACAAACAGTGTTGAAACATGCGACGATTACATGTATGATTTACTTCGTTTAAAACAACTGAAAACAAAAAAATACACATAATTAGTTTGTTTAACACACACAAAACGTGTATATACCAACTTACCTTACGTGCTTGGCATTTTTAGTTTTCATTTTTTCCTGTAGTTACTTCGGCGTCTCCAAAATGCTAATAACGGCATTCTAATGCGTTTTATGTATGTAAAATACGTCATATGAAGAAAGTGCACGTAGCGCGTTCCGGAGCGAAAACCGAGGGTGGAATTTTGCACCCGTATTCGCGACCACACCGACGACGACGTAATACGAATAATAGTAATTTGGAACGACCTCCAATTTAGCTTAATGTGCTTATATTATTTGGGGAATTGCTGCTTCCCTCGTTCCGAACACTGCCAGTAACGACAATGAACTTAAAAACGCACGTAAATGTTTAAACCCGAAGCAAAAAAACTAATAACAATCACAATTAACGTTCCATACACTCGGAAACATTTATTGGCGTCTATTCGAATGGAAAGTTACTCACGCACTAGTTTTGTTATTTCACCAAACTCAACAAACAACATTCCTATCTCTTGTCGGCTGCAAATCGCTGTAACCTCTAAAAGTTCTTGATAAAGACGCGCGAATTGCACGTACACCAAGTGATTGACTATAGGCAATCCAATCAACACAATTTTTAAATAAATCATAAAATTTAAAAATTGCATTTTTACAAAAATACATATTCCGATGTTATTAATAACATTTATAAGAAAATTAATGTCAAAATTCATTTTAATGCATTTTATGAACTTTCAACTTGTTTTCGAATATCAAACATGCTCTCGACGATTCTACACCCAATACTCTACACTCTCTCATCCTATTATTATGTAAATTTATTTGGCGATATCTGTAGGTAGTCTCGACGCATGCAAGGGTTAACCCCACGTATACCTCACACAAGATGCGCACAATATACCTACGTGCGATGATCGGATGCAGGTTTTACGACTGCGATGTAAATTTCGACAATAAATATCGAATGTATATGGTCGTGCGAACGCGCGCACTTCAAAATGATTAATTATCATTTGATATTTTCACCTACTTACGGCTCACGCGACATTGCATTTGAATAAAACCCTTACAATCGAAACATTACACTCGACACTGCATATTCTAACCTAACAAACAGGGAGCCATTGAAATCATTGAGGAATATTTAAACTTTCAATGCGTATGAACTTGGGAGTGTTGACATTACGGTGGAGAATATTGTGGAACACACCTATTTCCTATTTGACTCCGAAGGAGTGTTTATGATGGGCTATTGTTCTCTTTACGAGTGAAATATATCATATTTAGCCATAAATGTTTATGTTTTGAGGTTATAAATGCCATCATCGAGCGGCCATCTTGTTGCGTGGACGCATGACAGTTCAACTCGTCGTTAACCTGTAAAAGTGTGTGGAAATTAATTAGATTCAGTCTAAAATTTAATTGGTGCCTGAAAGCGACGAATTAAAGCCGCTTACCACACTTAAAATGTAGATGCGGTAAGCTAGCCGCGAAAACAATCAACAATTAAAACGTTAAACGCCATTAAACCAAATGCTATTTATGCTCATTCGCCACGGCTTTCGTTGCGTGCTGCGTTTTGTTCGGTTTCACGAATTAAAAATTAGAGCCAAATCAACTAATGAGCAACAAACACTAAATTAAATTAATCTCGCACGAAATGCTGCATTTACAATTAAAATTAAAACTAAAAAGAAAACATACCATGTGTGTAAAGTGTGTAAATCCTGTATAATTAAAAAATTAAATTCCGTTTCTTAGAGGATGTAAAACGCGTTGTAGACGAAATAAAATTATTACACATGTCGGTGGAGTTCGAATGCGCGCGCTCGCATTTCTAATTAAATGTTTTTCGTATAATGACGATAATTAGAGTGCAAGCTAAAGCGAAGAGGAGGCGGCGACGCTTATATTTGACGAGGCGAATAATGCGGAGCGACTCGCGCACGCCGCGTTTGCATAATAGGCGCGGTGGCTGATACGCCAACTAATTAATTAAAGTAAAATTGTTCGCTGCGAGATAATGAGTCCGTTAATAATAAATAAATGATTATATTACATCTATTAGTGTGCAAGTAATAGATACACACGAAGTGTGGTTAATTAACTTCAATATATGCAACCCAAACAACACATATCTAAACTAACCTGTTTCTAGATGTCAAATTTATAACCTGAAAACAACAAAACACTTTTGTATTTTTAATGATTTGTTTCTTCAATTATGGAATCTATTTCACTTTGCATTTTCGTTCTGCTCGTCTCGCATTTCGATACGCTTCGAAGATGTAGCGATAAGCATGCTCCACGCAGCCAGCCGCCCCCCATCTGCGCGTAGAATGTAAGTATATTTATGTGCGCGATATGCCGACTTGCGTAATGGCCGTCTTGGGGGCTGCACGCCTGCCGATAGACGATAGAAGCTCGCACCCCGTAAAATAACGTGTTTAATTATTTTTTGTTGCTTCGACGAGCACAAGATGTGCAAAGAGAAGAAAAATATTACCAACCTACAAGAATAGCACGATGGCAGAATATTAGAACATGGGAAAACTTCAATATTAAATATTTAACATATGGAGATTTACTTACCTCATTTCTTATGCGATGAGAAAATATTATCTTCACATACAATTCTTACCCTTAGCAAAGCATTACAATGTTTCATCTTTTTGATATTTTTGCAACGTGACAAAACACAAAGCTAATATGCAAATATCAAGTTCCCTCTGGCAAAAGGGATGATAAATAAATATTAATAATTATTCAAATCACTTTCGCTGCGCTCCGAGTTCACGCGCTCGCATAGAAACCTAGAAAGAAATCAATTTAAATATAAATGGCGAGGGTTGCACCTAAGTGCTTGAGAATATAATTCCCAACAGTAGATACAGGTAAAAGGGTTAAGGGTTAAGAGTTGCGCAGGTAATGTAACAACACAGATTAATAATATGAAGGGAAACGAGAGGAAACCGACCTAATGCAAAGGTGTTTGCGGATAATGTGACGTTGGTGTGATAATGCCCTCGGCGATGTTCGAGGGTAATCATTCGAAACGCATCGATTTCCGATGTGGATTGATCGATTCGGGGTGGCTTACATTGTCGACATCGATAAATTGGCCTTTTTGTCAAAACTAGCTATAAATCGCATCGGTGAATGCGCTTTACCTGTTCTGTTTGTTCGGAGGCTCTTTCAGGGATGAGGGATGATGAATACACGCCACACCACCAAAAATATATATGAATAGTGCTTGTTGACTGTAATCATGTTAAGTGGTTATATCGACTCAATAAAAATCAATTTATTATGAATGTGTATGATGGGTTGCCTATAAACACAAAAATTCACATTTATAAAAGTAGCTTATAATAAATATGTACAATAGGTTGCCTATAGTAGTCAAAATTGATTTCTTGTTTTAAGTTTAATTTTATTGATTAAATTATAAAACTAATGACATCGTTTACAAATAAATTCGAAACAAACGAGAAAGAATTCCGCCGCGTTTGTATTCGTTTTTGCAAAGAGCAAAAGAATCGATCCAAAACGAATTTCAAACGCGCGAGCAACACACAAATAAAATAAAACACCATGCATTGAGAGTTTCGAGACGTCTCTTTCACTCACGCGCTGCCAAATAAATGCCACAATACATTTCAATTTCGATTCGATTCCCGCATTCGGAAGAAACGGAAGAGCGCACGAAATGCGCGTCCCGCACGAACGCCAATGTTTGTTCCTATTCCCGTTTTGCGCGCCATCATCCCCTTTCCATCCACATCCATTTTATCCACATTTACATACATACATATTACATATACACACAAACACAAACACGCATATGTAAATTGCACTCGGGATAGATTTGTGTGTGTGTGTGGAAGAAGGTCTCGTTGGGGGTGGGCGGTTGCGTCCCGCTGCGCTCTCCCGCATATTCTAAATCCACGCCGGGAAGATTTCCGAAGCAAACGACGTGTGCGTGTGCGTATTTTCTTATTTTCATCTCGTGTCCTCCTTCTTTTTGCAGCTGCGACTGAGATGGCGCGGATGAAATGCGAAGTAAAGACGTTAGAAGATGGAAAAAGTGAACGCGGAGGGTAAAAACGCCAAAAACGCGCTTTATCTCTTATGCCTGCGTGACTCCCTCGCGTCAAACCTTAAATGTGTGCGCGGATGTGTGGCGAATATTTATTTGGACAAACCACCCTCTGTGCCGGTGCCTCCCGAGTCGAATTAAGGAATAAAATTCCTCCAGCAGCCGAGTTTTTCGCTTTTTTCGTTCATATTTATTTTTCTTTGTTGTTTTTTTTCCTTTCTTCAGTATTACGGCATAAAAAAAATGAAAATGACACGTTAAACGTTTGTATTGTTTACGTGATGATTGAAAAATTCCTTTTTGTTGACGTCAGGTTGCATGTCGAGTCGAAAAGTCGAAAAAATGCGCACGCAACTAATTAATTTGTTTGATGTTAGAAAAAACGCATACTAAGTGTCCGAAAACACGCGAAAATTATTCGTTATTTACGATTATTTGTTCCTGGACACTTTGTATGCGTGCGATAAATGATTAATTAAACATGAGTTTGATAACTTTGGTAAATACTCGAATTTTTCGCCGAAAAAAACTTTGGCAGCTTATATTTTTGTTTGCATCAGCGTGACTTTGTTTTTCTTAGCATTTTAGCTCAACTTCCATCGGTTTCCTTGCTCTGACTGGATGACTGCTTAATCAACAACGTCAGAATAGAATTTGATTGATAGCTTCGTAATGAACAACACAACAACGCACACGCACAGCATTTTCGTCCAAAATTTTTCCTCCTCCTCGAAAGCAAACACGGAAAATTAATAAATGACTCATAGCCGTGCTTATTAGCGAAATTAATTTTAAGCGGTGAGCAATTTTCAAGCGTTTACGTTCATTTACAGCTCGTGTTCGTACGTAACGATGACAGTAACGAACCTTTGGCAGGTTTTAATTATATTCACGCAACGCGCGTCAAACGGGACGACAAAAGGTGGCAAAAGGTGCAACGCGCAAAAATTCATTTGCATATTATCAATTCGGATAATGCGTGTGTGTGCGCGCACGCACGAAACGAATGCGTGCAAACACCGGTAGCCGGTCGTCGCGCAATGTTTTATTTTATTTATGCATCTATTCATCTGCGTGCGTATTACCTGAATGCCACTACGGCCATTGCTGGTGTCACCGTGTGTTGTTTCGTGTAAATTTATAATTCGTGCGTTACGAATGCGAGGATGCGAGCGTATGCAAATCATAGTTTTTATTTATTTGCATGCGCTTGCATTCAACGGCACAGATGTTTTCAGTTGTCACTGTTTCTACGGTGTTTTTTTTAAGAATGCAGTGAATTGAATTAAATAAATACGTTTGAATAGAATTTAATCACGTTAGGTATAAAATTTTCAGGTTATATTTGCTGCAGATGATGTATAACTTATAAAAGAA